ATAGTTCTCCGTTAAGTAAAATATTACTTTCTAAAGTTAGTTTTGAACTATCGTCGTGCTAATTTGAGGTTATGCTTCAGTGTTCTTGATCCCAGCTCCATACTGAAAAAACTGCCCTTCTGAATCTTATTTACACCCTAATGTACTGTATTTAAAAATTTTAATCATGCCCCTCTTTCCTCAAAGTTGTAATTATTAGGTTCCTGCAATCTCACCTCATATGCTATATCCCTCATACATTCCATCAGTTTGGTTGCTCATCTCTGGACGGTGCTCAGTAATAGATATATTAACCAATACACCACAATGTATGCATTGCATCACAATTTTTATACTTTAGACTTCCATGACATTGCCTATATGGTAACAGGCCAAGACATCTATGTAGGTGATATTTCAGTATATAGCCCATGTTTAAAAGTTGTGGAAAATGAAATGAGTGCAACAATTCATAGCAACTGATCAGATTTTCCTTTACTGCCACCACACCTGTAAAAGCTAAATTTTGACTTGCTACTATGGCTGGTGAGTTTTACGCTTTACACTTTGGTCCTTGCGCTATTTTGTAAGGGTTTTCTGTCATACAGGCTGTTATTTCTGTCTTACTTCTAAAAATGGCAGTTGCCTACTATGATGATCCTCTTGTTCTGGTTCAGAAATAAGAAAGTATAGAAGCCAAAGCATCAGCACTGCAACCAGCCAACTAGCATTTTCAGAAGTAGGTCACTAGTGGTAGCCCACATCGCTTTTACTATTAATCTGTTTTTTCGCATACATGCTAAAATGCACACTTTTTACATGAAAATTGTGCTTAAAATCCCCAAAACATCATATGTTTTCTAAAAGTAGAAGACCCATAGAACACAAACTTGGGAGTTGCAATGTTTTATGTTGCACAATATTTAGCACAATTATTTATCATATCTATATTTTCAGTAAAAAATGAATTTAAATCAAATTGAGTGCACACAAACACAAACAAAACTCCATATTTTCTGTAAGACATAAAAGATGAAACAAAGTCAAGTATATAGATAGCAGATGTGTCAAGACTCAACACTGCATGTGCCCTTATCACTTCAACAAACTACAAAAATATCATCAACTTTAAAATAAGCTTAAATGATGGTCTAAGAATTGTTTCTTTCATTTCTGCATACCCAAGATACCCAACATGTGTTGCATAATCATGTATGTACCTAAGTGTGCCCCATATGTGTGTATTAGTATGTGCATGTACGGGCTTTAAAAAATGTTTTAATTCTATATTTTTTATTTTTCACTGTGCTGCGATCACAAGGGGGATGATAAGCCCCATATGTGACATCATTTACTTAGGCAACTCTTACTGAAGACACAATGTCCTGGAACCACCTTTTTAACCTGGCTCTTCAAGCCAGGAACTGAGGGCTCAAATATAGCTAATAGCCTGCTCTTGAAAAGTAAACCAACTCACGGCTGCAATTATAACCCTAAGTTTGTTTATATGACGCTATTGACCACACATGTTCAGCTGGCCACACATGTTACTAGGCTGACCACATATTTTATTACTTGAGGACAACTTCAGGATTTTTTTTTCTTCCCCCCAGGTGTTATTTAAAAAAAAAAAGTCTGAAATGCTCACTGTTAATCTGAAGCTGTCCTGCTCAGTCTTTTTTACCGGAAGTGGTCCTCAGTCTTTTGAGTCAAATGACTGCCAGCAAAGAAAAGACTGTGATAGCATATTGATACATAGTATGGTGCTTTTGTTATCACATTAACACCAATCTCTGCATCATCGAGGGCCACCCACCCCAGGAAAAGACTGAGGAGAAAGAGGACCCTGAGGTGGGGTGTTTGACCATTAAAGGCATTGGCTGATTTTTAATGACTTTGTAATATATGTGGATTATTAAAATAAATTTTTGGACTCCTGAGACATTTGATGGCACTCTTTTCTGATTTGATCACCTGTTGATTTATCATGCCAGGTGACCTCTACACTCACCGCCTTGTGGAGAGCTGCCGAACTTGGGTAACTTTGGTCCTTGATTAAAACTCTGTGTTTGCTATGGCCTGAATCCAGTGCATCGTTTCTACCTCCATTTGAACTAGTATGTCAAGTGAAAATCCTTCAGTAAAAGATATGTAAAAAGAAATAAAAAAAATATAAAAATACTACTGTTAGGGACCTCAGTGAGGACATTTAAAGGAGAAGAGCGCAGATCCCAGAGTTGGGCTCAAGTCTAGACAGAAATCTAACTGTACATGGGTATACATAATATTTGATATAATTGTAAAAAAATTAATACAATGTAACAGATTGAATACAATGGAACATTTTATTAAATCTAAGCAGATTGTAAAGTTGTCCTTATCAAAAGCAATTGCCTGTTTTGAAAATGTTTTTACATGTTCATTCTCAGTTTATTACTCAAACTTAATTTGGTAGATGATACAACTGAATTGCAGTGTGAGTAACTGTCTGCAAAAATATAACCTATACTAGGGGGCTGGGGAGCAAAACAAACTATAAAAGGTGACTATGATCAAATATACATTGCCAAAGCTAATAAATAAAATGACTTCTATTTCTAAGAGGTAATGTATAGATGGATGTTCATCTACATCAGCCTTTTTCAACCTTTTTACCATGGAAAAACTTGTGAAATAATGATCATATCTTAGGGAATCTATGCTAGAATATAGCTTGCCATGCACACTTAGTTGTAGATATAAGATTGGACTATGGCATACCTTGTGTATTTGACAGAGGATTTTTTTAGACCCCTTCCTATTTTTAGAACAAAATCATTTTCAGTAATCAAACATATCTTAATAATGTAATAATGAGCCGAAAAGAGGACACTGAAATGTTAAAGTTCCTTGATATTGATGGTCAATGGAGTAATGCCTTATACATTGGAAGTCAGTCTATTGCCCTCTTACATGTATTGTAAGTGGAGAGATGTCCATTTACATTGTTGGTCAATAGAAAAGTGCCTACTTAGATTGATGGTCACTTTAAGGTTTGCCATACATTGTTGGTTTATGGAAGAAGGATCCCCCTACATTGCTGGTCAGTGGGGAAATGCCTAATTACATTGGGGGTTAAAGGGAAGAATGTCTCTTACATTGATGGTCAGTGGGAATAATGCATTACAGATAGCTAAAAAGATAATTCATGCCAGTGATTTTCTTCCTGAGATAACAGGAAAGGCTCAACTGATATTATGGCATGGCTCTGCTGAGTGACATTGATGTCAGAACTATACAGTTATGGTCTGGTGGGAAATCAATGAGCAACTATTTGCTACTTAAAAAACCTTAAGCAACCTCTGGGGGACCTTTAGGATTCCATGGAACCCTGCTTGAAAAAGGTAGATTCACCTATTTAATGTAGGAAGGATTTTATATTTTAGAATCAGTGTTTAGATTTTTCAAGATTGGTGGAAATGTATAGAAGAGCTTCAGTAGCGCTTACCCTCCCATGGCTACTGCTACCCTGATTGCCTTATTAAAGCCAACATCCACATTACAACATAAAAATATACCTGCCTTTTGACAGCCAGAATAGGATGGAAAAGAAGATAAACAAAACAATATATTTAGTATATATTTAGTGTTGCCAGCTTTTTATTTCTAGATTTGTAGGACAGAACCTGCTTTTCACAAAATTAAATCTTTGTGTCTGTAATTTTAATTCCTTTTCTTATTTATTCTTACATTCTGATCCCTTAGCCATTTTCCTTTGTCTAGTAGTACTGGAGTCTATTTAGGGACTGTGTTATAAATGTGGATACATAATATGGAAATGTTTAGAAAGTTATGAATCTAATTTGAAGAAAGATAATTAAACGAAACATTGCAGTAATATAATCTGTGTTTTGTTCTTCCATATTTCAGGATAGTTGGCGCAGTGAGCTGCAGACTTTATGTGATAATAAACATTCTGTCGATGCTAACAGTATCTGTCTGTATTATTACTGTTGTAATGTAGTAAAGAAAAACAGGTTATTGAGTGGGGAACCAATAAAATGATTGACAGTAAAGAGAATAACTTGTGTAGGAGTTACTACATTTCTGCAATCTGTAACACAAAAGTAAATTAAAAGTTTTTAGAAGGAGATGCATATTGGCAGCAGAGAAGAATCCAATAATTTCAGTGTTGTATTGTCCCTGCCATGGTGACATAACAACATGCAATTAAATATAGATATTTATAATAACAGGACAGAACATCACTATTACATAAGTCATTTATAATATACCAGATATTTAAAGAATTGTTTATTTAAAATTGGAATAATTTACTTTATTCAACTGTTTAAGACCTGATGAAGAGAAACATGCATTGTAGTTTAAGCAGTCCAACATGATTTTCTGATCTGGAGCTTACAATCTAATATACAATCAGATTGCAGTCATACATCCACATACCTACTATTGGCACATTCTTGAAGAAACCCAAACATCCATAAAATATGTTTTTGGATTGTGGGAGAAAACCTGAAGAACCTAAGATAGCATGCGGAGAGCATGGAAACTCCATGCAAATAATGCCTGGGACTCTAGTGCTTAAAGATAAGACTGCTAGCCAGTTTTAAATATTTATTGCAAGCTTTCTTTTTAATTTCAACTGGGTCATGCCCTTTGGCTCAGGACACCTGACAGTGCCTCCTGTGTGAATGAAGGCAACAAACAGGTTGCAGACTTCATTTATAAGTAGTGTTTATGTGTAAATCAAAGAACTGTACTTTGATTTGCAAATAATATCAGCCCCGGCAAATCTGCAATTTTAAAAAAGAAAATAAATATAACGTTTTTTCATAAAATGTATTTTCATAAAATGTAATTTTGTAAAAAAATGTTTTTTACCATTGTTTCATTATTTTTGTTGCAGTGCAGAAATACACACACATTTGCATATATACACAACATTTAAAATAATACACTTTGTTTTATTTGTAAATGAATTTACCATGCTTTGTGCCAGAAAAATAATAACAGAAACCCACCTGAAAAGTGTTTGTACATTAACTATTGTCTTTGCATCTGCCATGTAGTCTTCTTCAGCACTCATTGTGCTCTCTTTGTCTACAACCACCATATCAGCTGCAAATGTTACTCCACATTTCAGTAAGTCATCTAAGCTTTTGAAAACACAAAAGTACTAACTTTTAGGAAAATAATGTTATAAGGCATAAGAAAATAAATATGAAAACATTAAACCCACCTATGAAACAAAAATCGAAGCAGTGATATAAATATTTTATACAGATACACTTACTAAAACAAGGTGACAAAGGCATTTGCAACCATTTCACATATAAGAGCATTCATTACAACATGCAAAAACAAGTTGGTTTTTTTTTATTAAGATGTTTGTGTTATACCAATTCTTATAGACTTGTTGATGCTGTTAGAAATGCAGATAGACATTGTTTCTGTTATGACTAATAAATAAAGCCACAATTAGCTAATATGTGTTTTCGTTCTTTTAATTCCAAATATAAATTCCTACCTTTTAATTCTTCTGGTTTAAGATACCATAAAAAGCAATTCCTAAAGGCTCAGCAAACATTTGAAAATCAAAACATAAATGGCAGCCACTCTAATCAGTTTATAACCAGTCTTTTAAAGTAAGGAACACATAGAATGGGCATTCTATGACCAAAACAATGCAAACACTTCCCGCCAGCCATCAAAAATACAAATGATATACTGGGGTTGATTTACTAACCTTATAAACACACCACGAACATGTATACACCTCTGTAGTGTACATATATATATATATACATATACATATACATATATATATATATATAGTGGTACCTCGGTTCACAAACTTAATTGGTTCCACGATTCTGGTCGCGAACCGAATTCATAATTTGTTCTGAACCTCTGAACCATATGAAAAAAAAAATATTTAACCACAAGTTTCTTTTTACCACCATTCTTGCTCTGCACATTCTTGTCACCTTCAATAACGCTCTGCACATGCTTGTCACCTTCATTAATGCTCTGTACTTTTTCCCACCATGCTTGCTATGCACTTTCTTGGGAGCCATGCTGGATTGAATACAGTAATACTGTGCTACAAAACACACACAAAAGCTTCACAGTAAGTGTCCACAGTCCTGTCTGCGACCGCAATCTCAAGTACAGGAAGCCACGACCATGTGTCAGAGCAGGGAAGATGGCCGTGGTGGTGTTCGTCACCCGAGGCAGAGTTTGCGTACGGGAGTAAAAACTTGATGAACTGCTTCCTGGTCGCAAACCGAATTGTTCGTTCACCGAGATACCACTGTGTGTGTGTGTATATATATATATATATATATATATTAAAAAAGCCACACTCCGCATCAAGAACCATCCTGCTTGAGTGTTGGTGAAATTGTCTTTAGACATATTGTACATTAGTAAAGTAAAACCCTGTGTAATGGCTGCTAGAGAGTAATTGAAGTTTAAAAGCAGCAACTATGGGGTCTATTCACAAAGCTGCCGAGGGCAGCCGAGTGAATGACCGATCAGAAGTGAAGTGAGCCGAACACTGTTCGGCTATTCACTTCAGGCTGGTACGGCTGAAATCAGCCGTACATCGGCTTGCTTCGTGTGGCTTCGGATCAGCCGAACATGCTCAGCATGTTCGGCTGACCCGAAGTGCAGAAGGAGTTCGACTCAGCCGATCCAACATCTGGATCGGCTGAGCCGAACCTCCGGCAGGCTTCACACTGCTGTTCGGGCTATTCTGAAAGATCCCGAACAGCAGTGAGAGAATAGCCGAATGCCGCCGAGCGGCATTTGGCTCGGCTGTTCTGCTCGGTCCCTCAGAGGCACCGAGCAGAACAGAAAAAGAGTGAAAAAAGTAGAAAAAAGTTAATAGAAAACGATTGTGCAGAGCTAGCAGTGACAGCTAGCTCCACCCAATAGTTTCCTATTGTCCGGCGGCTCTGCTGCTGTAAAAAAATAAAAATAAAAAAATGTAAAAAATCTCCCGGGCGCTCCCCGCTCCCGGCCACCAAGAAGAGAAACTTACTGAGCCGCTCGGCCATGATCGGGAGCTGTACGGGCTATTGTGAATAGCCCGTACAGCACCCCCTCGGTTCTCCTGAACCGAAGGGGTCCTGGGGCCGAAGCTAGCCGAAGGATCGGCCGAAGCTTCGGCCAGATCCTTTGGCAGCTTTGTGAATAGACCCCTATGTTCTTGAATTGATCATATGGGAAGCAGCAACTAAAAAGGGCATTGAAGAACCTAAAGCTGCAAGATCATGGATGACCCTTGAATGTTCAGTAACAGACCCAATTTTGTAAGAAATCCCAGTACAGGGTTAATAATTTGTTAATCATTACCTTACAGGTTCATGACATGGACAAACTAAAAATTAGGGATTATTTCTGAAGAGGATGTATAAATATAGAGTTAGATGTACAGTATTACGATCCCAGTGTGTAGGACAGCGTGTGAAAATGTAATATATGCCATAATCGAAAGATAATTGCACATGGTTGACTAAAGCCACATAGATAAACTGAGATGGAATTACATAATTGGTTTTTGTACATCCATGTATCCATTTACAGCACAGATGGCTCTGTGATCGCATCAATTTTATCCATTAGATAGTACTTCATATCAGAGCATGCATGGGCAGCTTCATACCTGATGATGAAAAAACACAAGCAAATTAATTCACTTGTGTTGGCGTCACTCGTCACAGCTAGACACTTTAGCTTCCTGCAATTGCTGGCCTCGCCTACTAAAAGTGCTAGTTGCATGGCTATTATGCAGAGTGGGTTTAAAGCAGTTTACTTTCCTTCAGTGCTGTCGGATCTATCTTTGGTCCCCTGCCGCTGCCACTTCCGGGTTCTTATTTAAAAGGCATCCTCTTCATCCATTGGGTAGCTTCTGATCACCTGCATGCTCACAGGAATTACATCATCACCAGCATCAGGCCCATACATTGTACACAGAAAATAAAAAATCACTAGGGAGAGGGGAAGAATTATTTTTGGCAGAAGAGACTTTGCATGTTTCTCCTGCCAAAAATACCTACCTCCCAGCAATTTTTTAAAATATTTGTAACTTTTATTTCACTTTAATGTCTCGTTCCCGGGACCCCCCCGACCCCCCCGCCGGTGATTTTTGTACGGATCCCCGCTGCCACAGACCCTACAAGCAGTGGGGATCCATGGAGTCATTTTTTATAATAGCCCAGTATTTTTTATAATAGCGGTCATCAGCGGCTTCTGAGCCGCTGATGACAGCTATTAATTTAAAGGGGACAGTCTGCTGAACAGTTATACTATAAGCTGATGGTCGCTAAAGCGACCATCAGCTTATAGTAGAACTGTAAATGCCAGGTCCGTATGGCATACTGACCTGGCCAGCTGGAAGCACTTTTGTAGGTCCGTATGCCATACGTCCTTGGCAGCGAAAGGGTTAAGTCACTAAACAAACATACAAGTCATGATTTCAGACTTTGCTTGGACTTTACTTTTAACTGCCAAGCATTTTCATTTAAATAAAATGTATAATGTTTTCATACATATTTCCATTGTTTAAAAATAATTTTTATTTTTGTTATTTCGGTAAATGCTAACTATTGCACATGTATATTATGAATTTACTACAGTCAGACCAATCTAACAGCTTTAAATAACACCGAAGTTTTATGAACTTTTATACATGCAAAATGATGAATACACAAACAAAATCTGAAAAATAATCTACCCCTGAAAAATGGCACCTTGTATATGTTTTAGACAGGTAAACAGTAGCACAAGCATACATTCTGCTTATGACATTCATTTTAGTGTTGCATTTTTTAAGTAAGCCAAAGTCAAACACTGGACTGACAGTCCCCAAAAAGTCCCAAACTAATTAGAAAGGCATGGCATTATAATAATAAAGCAGACTATATTCTTGCTGTGTTGGATTTGTCTCTTCTCTTAACTACAAAACCCATTGGAAAGGAGCTGTTGAGATTATAGTTGTTAGGGTGTGCTGAGCAAAGTATACTTTGCATAAAAACACCCAGTAGCTACAACCTACTGTCTTCCCATTTAATGTAAATTACCCCTTTCCATGGGGTCATGTGAATGGCCATGTCACTGCCTCAATAAATTACAGAATACAAATTATGAAATATTTATTTGTATTACTGCACAGTTTTTAATTTCTCTGACTAAGCATCTTCCCGGAACTAACACTGTTTTCTCCTTTTGCTGTATAGATGAGGAGACTTTAGAAAAAAGACATTTAATATCCAATACTATTCCACACCTCTGTCCTGCGTTATGAGAAAGTCTCAAGCAAAATCAATACTGCAATACTGTGTTTTATCCCAGTGAAAAAAAACTGACACTTGATACATAATCAAACTGACACATACTATAATGTTCACTCTAAATTCAAGAACGGAACTTGTGCATTAAAATGTAATAGAACTGAAAGTAACTGTATGAATGAGCTGACGGGATATTAAGCTTACATTGTAGGTATGCTTTTGCAATCTTTGTGGACACAACTTAAACATAAAACTAAAATGAATTACAGTGCTGAAAAATAAATCATATATCTTTGTATAATGATAATGGAACACATTAGCTGAGGTGGTGATCGAGAAAGGTTGTACAAGATGGAAAACGGTTATGGGCATATTTAGCATACCAGTAATGTCCTGGTGGCATTATAGAATGCATGATTTGAAAAGTTTTGGCTCATCTGCCTAGTCTGTTTCCCCTATGACCCACCAGTAGGGTAAATATTAGATCAATTTATGTATTTGCAGAACAACACAACAAAATCCATATACTGTATTAATACTTAAAGTAGGACTGTGCCCAGTCCATGAACATTAAAGTGTTTCAATTTTTTTATAACAAGCATTAAAAGCACTTTATAACAAGTGCTTATTCAAATCTTTAGCTTTAGGTATTTTGGAGTAATTCATCCTCAAACTTCACAACAGAGGCACTGAAATTACAACTCCCTTCCATTCCATTTGATTCCATTCAGAGAACAAAATCTTTGCACCCTGTCAGCCATCAAATGTAAAAACACAGAAGTTGCTTGAAGATATCAGAAATCACCTGCAAGCTTACTTCAGAGTCTTTGTTGTGATCTTTGAGGATGCATTATTTCACA